CCAGTACACTGTGTTTCACTGCACTTTACTGCACTGTAAACTAATGTACTCTACTATACTGTACTCCAGTACACTGTGTTTCACTGCACTTTATTACACTGTAAACTAATGTACTCTGCTATACTGTACTCTGATACACTGTACTACCCTTTACTGCACTCTAGTAAAAATGTACTCTTCTTTCCTGCGCAGGACCTCGATGCTGCTCTCCGGGACTGTACTCGACCTCTGCTGCGCTCCGATGAGATGCTGTAGTAATTAGATTCTCTCGGTCTTGATGGGCGGTGTGGTTTGTTGTTCTAAGCTGGCCCAAAAATACTCTCTGCGCTTTTGTCAAAGTCTTTATATAAACCCATCCCCTGTAATCTATTTAGCCTCAGGGATGGAGGGAGAGGAGAAGGTGGTGGCAGTGTGTGTGTGTAGTGGGGAGGGTGTTGACTGGCTTTTAATGTTTCCATTACAGAGCTGTGTCAGTCAGGGCCCAGAGGGGAAACAGCACAGAGAAACTCACACTCTCCCGTACTTTCTGCTTGCTGGGTGTAGCAAACCGGTCGATACTTATGGAGCGATGTCTACTATCTCTCTCTCTCCCCAAGGCTTGGAGCCTCCCTCTGTCCTCTACGTGTACAGAGAGGTCAGAGTGAGAGGTAGGAGGGGGGTTAGTGTCGGGGTGGGACACTGTCACAGTGCTGGGAAAAGGTACTTTCAAAACATAATCCACCACAGTTACAAGTAACTTGTGTAAGGAATGTTTAAGGGACTACTTCTGAAAATCAATAAGAAGTTGGCAGGAAAATCAAATTAAGAAGTCATCAGTTACGGTGATCGGCTGTATAAAGTTTGTGTTTCTTTGTATGGTAAGGTAACTTTTTTATAAATGTAAAAACATAATTACGTACACATGGCGTTTATAATGTGAGGTGGATTACTTTTTTAAAAGAAACTTTCCCTGACACCGTCAGCAGTCTTACACTGTGTAGTTCTCACCCTAGTTTTTAATATTGGCTTTGCTGGGAGTGAAACCACTGCAGATTCTTGGTATCCCACCTGTTTCAGGTGAGATTGAATGCCGGTTTAGAAAGGCGATGTTAACAGGAGCCACGGCCTATCCCAGCAACCAGTGGGCACTAGGCAGGGTAATCCTGGACAGGATGCCCGCCCAGTGCAGGGCAGGGCTAGTGGTCAGCATTGCTGTCTCACATGCTGGGGTCTGGGTTGAATTCCAGACCTGGGGTCTATCTGTGTGGAGTTTGTATGTTCTCCCTGTGATAGCGTAGGTGTCACGATTTTAGTTCCCCCTCCTTAAGGGTGCTCCAGCCCTTTCACTCAAGACTATTCTGTGCACCTGTTTCCCATTCCCAGCCCACCTTAAAAGCCAGGCGCTGACGCTCTTCCGGGCTCTGCATCTGATTTCCATATCGTGCGAGTCCGGGACCTGGAAGCGCCTGGTCCCGTTAAGGTTTTAACCTCTGTTCCCGTTCCTGTTCCCCGTCCGTCGGTTCCGACCCGGCCTTCGTGGTTTTTAATTCTTTGTTCTGATGGATCTCCTGGTTTTGGACTTACCCTTGTGTTTTGGATATTCCCTAAGGACTACTCTCTCGGATTGTTCGCCTCGGCCACACCTCCCCCGTGCACCAGCGCACCTTGGACACGCCCCCCTGTCTTCTGCCCCGTATTCCTGCATGACGTTTCCCCACTCCGTCGGACTGTGTCGTCCGCATAGGGTCCGGAAAGAACTGTTCATTACAGTAGGTTTCCTCCGGTTGCTCTGGTTTCATCGCACAGTCCAAAGAAGTACTTTTTTTTTCTATCAAAAATATACTTTATTTACAAAAGTAACATCTCGCAATAGCAACATTCTCGCAATCAGTAAACATTCTAATAAGGTTTGAACTTAACATGCAATATACACTTTCCGAATGGGGGTGATAGTCCATGATCAATCCATGCAAGTGGATGATGGGGCCGGATTTGCGTAATTAAAAGAGTCCCTCCAAGCCCTACCACTTGCTTTTGTCCATTAGTCCCTGTACAGGGCCCACAGTCCTTTCCAGTGCTCCCTCACTGTGGACAAGCCCCATTTGGCAACGTTGCGCTTCATCCTCCTTCTGAGGTCCTGGAAGTATCCTCTCCTCCAGCTCCCTCGCTCCCCACTCTGTGTTGTACCGTATGAGAGTGTTCCTCGCATTCCACAGTCCTTGTTTTGTTAGTACGTAAGTTCGTTTCTGAGAAAACTAACCCTGGTGTGAGTGTGTGTTTGTGTCTGTTTGTGCTCTGTGATAGACTGGCGTCCTGTCCAGGGTGTACTCTGCCTTACCCCCACTGCTTCCTGGGATATGCTCTGGCTCCCTATTGACCATGTATTATATAAGGGGGATAAAAGGTGTGTGTGAAAACGAGATAAATAAAAACCAGAAGACACATCAAGCAGGAGCTGAGTTTGAGACCGCTGTTTGGTAACAGAAGTCCTGGACATGTAGGCTCTGATATACTAGGATCTAATAGTAATTAAACTATGCTTTAATTCAAAGTAATCGTTATTGGAACTTTTAATATACTCCCAATCATAATAAAATCAATATTTAAATATGTGTTTACTGACCTTCAACACAGAGTTAGCCGTTACCTTCTCTCCATAGGACTCTTGCACAAATAAGTATGCAGGAAGAACTCTGTCTGTGACAATAGAAAGTAAAACATCAAGATCAAGTTTTGAAAACTTGACCACCACTGATGCCACATTGGAAGAGACAGTTGGGATAAACTGCTGTTTATCTTCAGAACAGCTTCAAGGTGTAAAGGTTAGTACACTGTAAAACCAAGGACTTGAAAACATGTGGTAAATGTGACACAACACCACTGGAAAAAACTGAAAAACAATGTAATTACACAGACATTTTGACAAAACAACTGTGTAAAATCTGCTAAATGTTTTACAGGAAATTCACTCTCCCAGACAAATGTAAATTTAGCACAGTAAAATGTTTTAGAATAAGGCTCCTGGATGCTGACAGCCACTTCATCTCTGTAAATTCAATACGTACTATCTAACAGGGCTATATAATTTAAAACACCTATGGGAATCAAGTACTACACCTGACCGCTCCCCCGCCCCCACCAGGTGAGCCAGGTTTCCCAACTCTGTCACCTTTACCACTGCAGTAATTTAGCAGGATGACACAGCAGTGTTCTTACCCTTGTCCTGAAGGAGCAGGCCTGTCTGGGTCAGTCTGCTCACGGGGTAGACAGCCTGGGTCTCTGCGTCACACTGTGGGCAGACGCTCGGATGTATTTCTGGACTGCCCAGGGGAGGAGGATCTCGGAACAATGAGCAATCATGTCCTACATTGCATACTGTACTTGTCATACACGGCGATAAGAGAAACTGGAACACCAGACCTTTGGCACAGAAGGGCTATCAACACTGAGATCACAGACGTTGAGACTTAAACTACACAATGTATGAAACTGGTGCTTCCTTTTTCAATTGGGAGTCAATTTGCCATCCTTTGGATAAGATGTAAAACCGAGGTCCTGACTCTCTGCGGTCATTAAAAATCCCAGGGTGTTTCTTGGAAAGAGTAGGGGTGTAACCCCGGTGTCCTGGCCAGATTTCCCATTGGCTCTTACCAATCATGACCTCCTAATAATCCCCCTCTATGAATTGGCTTCATTACTCTGCTCTCCTCCCCACTGATAGCTGATGTGTGGTGAGCGTTCTGGTGCACTATGGCTGCCGTCGCATCATCCAGGTGGATGCTGCACATTGGTGGTGGTGGAGGGGAGTCCCCATTACCTGTAAAGCGGTTTGAGTGGAGTGTCCAGAGAAGTGCTATATAAGTATAAGCGATGATTATTATCATGAATTATTTTCTTTTTATATCCATCCATCCATTCATTTCTAACTGCTGTATCCAATATGAGGTTGCAGGAGATCCTTTTCCTTTTGGAAAGCAAAGGATGCAATGCGGGATCAGGCCTGGACAGGACATCAGTCCATCAGGGTGCACACACACACTCACACCAGGGCTAATTTTCCCAAAAAACAATTAACCTACCAGTATGTCTTTGGTCTGTTGGAGCAAACCACCTAAACATGGGGAGAACATTGAAACTCCATGCAGAATGAATCAGTCACCTCTGCATGAATTAGTCACCTCTTTTACACTGCACACTCCAGAGAACTTGTCTCCCCCAAGTGCCAGTTTCACATCTCACTGTCCCTGCAAGCCCTGCCCTGGCACAGCTGTACCAGTCTCATGCCGTCACGTGGAAAAGCCTGCTTACAGAGAGTTAGCTCCAACCAGCAACGTCTGGGTCACAGGACCCAACCAGTCCTCCCAGCAGGAGCCTGTTCTAGTTGAGTCACTCAGGATATCCAGAAAACGTCTGTGGTTTCTTTCACCTCAGATGAAATTGTCGGGCAGAGCTACAGTATGCCACTTTAAAGTGGGCAGCCTTGACATAAGCATTCTAACAGCGCAGGAAAAGTGCAGACACAAGCACATAATTGAGTGTGTGGGTCTTGTGTATCCCTCTACTGCTGGACTTAAGGCTGATGGCTAATCTTTAAACAAGGGATCTAGAAGGTTCTGGACACTTCTAGTGTGCTTGCGATGGTGCTTGTGCCCAGTCTTGGGGTCCTGGGGGACCCACACTTTTCCTGGTTTGTGTTTCACCTGAGCACTCCATTAAATAATGGAATCCTTAATACACCCAAAAAAGAGGTTTCATTTGAACTCTAATTGTTTCCAGTTCCTGAATGTGCAGGAATTTGCCTTTTAACTACTGCTTTTCTTAACTTCA